TTTTAATTTTGAGTTATAACAGTTTTCAATGAGTTGTTTTAAATGTTTGACCTGAAAATATTTACAAAATCTAGGAAATTATCTGTCGTAGGAATTTGTTTCATTTGAAAATAACCTTTTAACTGGTTCACCAGCTCTTGAATAACAGTTGCTCAATTCATTTAATCCTTTCACCCCCAGATCTAATTAGTAATTCTCCTTATTGTCTGCCAACCAATTCTTATGACAATAGTTTGGAGAATTTGGTAGTGGGTCAACTAATAATCTCTCAATTGTCTCCTTGATGTTGTATTCATTTGCTATGGTAAGGAAAATTCTCGGTTTCTTGGTCACTCATGGGAGTTGAGGGTAATAAGCTGAGACTTCTTCTCTGCTGGAAAATGTGATTGGTCATTTTTTAATCTTAAGAGGACTTTTAGTTAAATTCATTCAGTGCAGAAATCATTCCCTGAAAGTTTAATGTTACTGTACATTGAAAAACATACTTTACGATAGTTGCTACTGACAGTAACTGTACTTTCTACTTTGTTATCATCAGAACATTTTGGATAGTCAAACTAATGTGTATTATATATAGCAACATTCTCTAATTTCTTACTGTAAAGTTAGTCAAACAACTTACTATTTGCAGAGTTCTCCATCATCAATCTCCTGTGCGTTTTCCATTCCAATTATCCAATCCTATTTGAATCCCTGTTTTTGTCCTCATCTTACAACTCTGCAAATCCAATAAAATAATTGATTAATAACATAAAACACACATGGTTAGTTTTCTTTTTGTCAGATAAGCCATCTACTGTGTTTAAACTAGCATTAGTGGCCTTATTAACCCTTTAACTCCCATGAGTGACCAAGACAGAATTTCTCCTTACAATATCCATACAATATCAACCAGTTTAGTGATGAGAATAAAGAAAAATATCAATTTGGGGATAATTAGTTGATTCAATACTCAATTATCTGAACTAACATGATAACAATCGTATGGTTGACAGAAAGGAGAAATACAAATTTGATCTGGGAGTTAAAGGGTTAAAGTCCTTATAGCCTAGCTTTAGGTGGTGCTAAAATGAAGAATTATTCCTTAAGCAATGGCAATATCTACGAGCTTAAGTCATCTCTTCTATGAACATATTTCATGTGTAAGTTTCTTTTATTATAACATAAAGAAAACCATGATGAAGAATTTCTTTGATACCAATGTTTACCATCAACAAAGGCTCTGCTGTATTACTCGCTTCATCAAACAGTACTGTAAATCATCTCCTTCAAACAGACATTGCATAGATTAGGGAATTGAGAAGACTACAGGGAGGCTTAGGAACTTCAAACATGCTTCAGTTTTACATAATATCCAATGCAGAGTTACTGTTATATCTGTATGAGTGAATTGAGAAATATGATTTTGAACTAAACAGGGTTTTCTTTAAGATTTTAAGTAGCCAGAGCTTTTTTAAAGGTAAATGGTTGTGGGTCTTGAAATCCAATATGGCGGACAAAACGTCATATTGTTTGTACTTTCCTGCCATTACAGCAAGATTTGTCAAAAAGACAGTCCCCATCAGAATGCTTTTAAACTAACCTTGAGTCGAAAGTCTTTTTATGTTTTCAGAAAAGATAGGCAGTGCAAATTTATATTTTTATTGAGCCCAAGTTTAGACCTGATAAACATCATCTCTGTATGGGCTCTTGAAGCAATGAAAGTAGCCAGCAAAACCTTACAGAGAAGCTGGCATACTTCGCCGGCTGCTGGCTCTTATCTACAACCCTGAATAAATGCCACCCTACAGTTTATGGCAACCATGAGTAAATGCTGCGATGCAAATGCTGAAAATCTAATAAAAACCTTGACTTTTAATCAGAAGAGCAATAAAAGTGAAGGTTTGTAAATTTTTCACAAAATAGTGGTAGTCATTAAAAAATGTGCAAGCAGACTCCCTTACAAAAACAGTGCCTATTTTATATCTATTTTTTAAACTATTTTCCCCTATTTTTTGTGCATTTTTTCTCTAATTTTCCAGACTATTTTAAAGTTATTTTAAACTATTTTAAACCTATTATTTTGAAACAAAAAAATAGTAGAAAAATAGTCTGGTTGGCAAGTCATAAGTACTGTAAAGATAGCTTTAAAATAGAGAAAATGTGTATGCGATTTGATGATAAAATAGGATCAAAATAGCATTAATGAAACATTCGTTAAAAAATAAAATAGACATAAAACAGGGATAAAATAGAAAAAAAAAACTTGAAAAATAGGAAATAAATAGGAATAGGAATAAAAGACCGAGGAATTCCCAACTGTAACAACTCTGGTTCTAAAGACCTAGAAATTCCAAGTTAATAGCCAACAGGACTTGGAATTCCAATTAATTCCTAGGAATTCCAACTCAGAGCAACAACAACTTTCCCTGCAAGGCTGTAAATCTAAAAACTTGCCAAAAAAATCCTAGGAATTTTCAGGAATTTCTAAGAATGTTTAAGAATTACTGGGAATTTTAGGCAACTAACATGGAATAAATACTAGAAAATTAAAAAATCCCAACTAAAAATTCAAGTATTCAGTGAAATTTATTTACATGCTTAACTCTGGTTTACATGTAAAATATTTTTGATTGTATATTAACTACAAAATGTAGCAATATTAGGATGGAATTTAATTCTTTTTTTTCTTGAAAACTTTGTAAGCATTATCCTCAGTCACTGCTATTCATATAAAATAGTCCTAATCAATTATTAAATTTGGTTTGACACAAATTGTGAATAAAATCTGTTGATTCTTTTCCATAAAATACAATAACTTGAATTATATTTATTGCAAGAAATACTATCAGTCAAAACATAGTCTTTAAATGAATCATTTAATTTTGGATGATGATACAAATGATATTTAACCCTTTTGCTCCCAGAGTCAAGCTTTGACTTGGTTTTATGTGGTTGTACCTTCTTTGGATAAAGCTCTCATGTGTAAAAATTAAAGGTAAGCTGTCAAGCAGTACTTTCATGTTTTACTGTTTGTTTTTGTTGATTCTGCACATTGAAATTCAAAGATTTCTTCCCAATTTTGACTTAGCACACTTGGGAGTGAAGAGATTAATTACAGTTAAATAAAATTGATTTTTGAATTAAATCTAGTTGTAACTGTAACAGTAACTTAGAATAAAGTTTCCCTAAACTGCAGACAAGTTGTCTACAATAAGCCTTTCCATTTTGTATCTGGATTCCATGACATAAAAAAATGAATGAGCTCAGACAAGGCCTTAGATAGCTATAAGGAAAAGGGCATTCATTGGAATCTTAATTTGACAAAGTGCATTGGGATTGGGAAATCTCTGTTATATCAAATGACTTTTACTGTATATTGGAGTAAACACATCTCTTCCATAGATTTTACTAAAAAAAAGGGCGGAATACATTATTTTGTTTTTATCAAAGGAGGGCTTCTTTATGTAATCAGGTTTGTTTAATCACAGTTTGTATTATGAATCTAGAATGTTCCCAAACGTGACTAAAGTAATCTTGAAACCTTACTGATATATATAATTATTTCATTGTAAAGTGTAAGCTTAAGAAACTGCGGCATGCAAGTGACCGTTTCGATTCTCAGAATTATTCGAGTTTCGGTTACGCCGAGAGTTATGTAAGCTTAATTCAAGCCGTTATATCTATTCTTTGGTAAGATTTTGATCACGTAACGAATATCGCAATTTTTACTCACCACAAACTTTCAAAATCGTAGCATTAAGAATGGCCACTCGACCTTTGTTTGTACCAGTCGATATGTCAACTGTTGTCCCATCTCTTAATTCCACGGCGCCAACGACTTTCTTTTCATTTACAACATTCACGCTGTTCTCGTTTTCCCAATGAACCACAATAAAACCCATCTTTAGAAATGTTATATTAAACAAAACAGTTGAGAAAAGAAATAACTTGACGCACGAGCGATCAACCGTTGAAAAGTTCATTCAAAGACAGGCGCCAAATGGAGTCTTCTTTGTTTTCGATCACGGGCATGATCACGTGGATCTTTTAAGAATAGTCGTTGCTTAGCAAAGAGAATCCGCTGGCTTGCCAGATTGCAGTTTCAAGAGAAGCGCACAACTTCATTCTGACTTCTCTGACTGGTTGTCTGCTTTTGGACGATGGATACCTTGGATCCATGTTCAGACGATGATATAAATAATGATGTGAGCTCACTCTCACTGGCCGAAAGTTGTCGAGGAAACAGACTCAAAACCCACTCTGAGCAAGCTTGGTTGCTGTGCTGATCGATTTGTTGATCAGTTTCAGTTAAACATGACCCAAGCAACGATCCGGGCAGTAAAAAGTGGAGATTCGATGCTAAAGGCAAGCCTTGGCGTTCAACTCTTTGGCAAAGAAAGAAACTCAATCGGAAACTTGAAAGCTACAACAACGCAGATGAAAAACGTCGGTCTGACGTTTTCAATTTATCTTGCTAACACAGAAACTGTGACTTTTAAATTCCAGTGTATCTAGTGAAGATATGATTGGTGCAAGTACAAAACAGCTGCCTTAAATTTATATTTTGTAATATAGAACAACAATACATTGTTAGTCAAGCTTGAATTCACGAATAAAATAGGAATAAAATATGACAGGTTATTACACCACACGTCTAGTTGCTGTTTTAATCATTGTGGGTCTAGGATACTTAGGAGAAAATAGAATCAAAATAGACTATTTAATACATATTTTGCAATGAAATGGAATCCACCTCAAAAAATAGAAATAAAACAGTCTATTTTAAACCCATTTTGTAATTATTCAACATTTTCTTTGATAAAATAGGATTGTGATTGCCTCTTTTTTCATATTTTCCAAAGGAAATGGCCATAGCATGTCCTATCAGCTGAAAATATAAATAAAACAGCCTATTTTATCACTGGTTTACTGATGTAAGAAATGAAAATAGGATTAAAATAGTCTGTTTTGTTGGTTATTTTTCCATTTGTTTTGAGAAACTAGAAACAACATTGGCGCGGTTGGACAGGTGTCTCTCCGCGCCGTTCCTCCTCGACCCTCCTCTCTTGCCTTAACCTGTCTCTGTCCTCCTGTCTGCTTCTCTCTCTTTCTCTTCTCCGCCTCTCTCTATCTTCGTCTCTTGGGTCTTCTTCCCTCTCTCTACTTCAATACGGAGCATCTTCATGGCATCATGGATTTCAGCCATCTGAAAGGCAGAACCCAAATAATTCAACGTACATCCAATATTTTTTACCAACTATATAATTTTACACTGTCCGACCTTTTTCGACTTTCGAGGAATAGCACGCTAAGACTGACACATCATGATTCTAGGAGATGTAAATAATTAAACTTAACTAGAGAAATACAAACAACAAAAAAAGTTTTTTGTAAAACTGAAAGGACACTTCCAGCGAAAACATGGAAAAACTAGTTGTAATTGAAAACGGTGGAATCTCTTAAACTTTAAATGTATAATGAAAGCTTGAATGACTCAAACTTTTCATAGGAGTGCTTTGATAAACCTTGTACAAATTAGAAAACTTGACAGACTTACGGTTTTAATTGATGCGAGTTACTTTGGAAAACTGATAAAATATCAGAATGGTGTGAGAGAGGAAGAGTTAATCGTATGATTAAAGGAAGTAAGAGAGAGAAATTCTCGACACCAGAAATGCAGACGCTTCTAGAAAAGTCTCGTACCTATTCTACCGGTTCGGAGCTAATGAGGCTGAAATGTTCCGATGATTGGTGGTCAAAAGTGTTACGAAAGTCAGTAAATCTAGAGTATGTAGACATCAACTTCAACATAACTAGATGCGACTCGTTTAACAGGGTGTGGAGACAATATAAAGTTTCCGAGAAAGGTAAGGAATTTTTGCGCCGTCCGCGCAACGACCTTGTTCTCGATTCTGCGGTCGATCCTTTTAACGAGGAAAAAAAAGAGAAAGCCGCCAAAACTTACTCACACATGTCCAATACACCTGACCTGAGTCGGGTTACCTTTACCAGCAGGCGGATTGAGTCCTATTGCGACCGGAACCGGAAATGGCCGTATGGCGCTTGACTGGTGGTACCGGAAGTAAGAGGTTAACATGAGCGAGGGGGATTGAAGATATTGGCAAACAGACTCGATCGGATCCGATGGAGACAGTTCGTCCTGGCAAGAGTCGATCGAACTCCCCCGAGGTCAGTTCGTGAAAATATCTCTCATCCATGAGGCGAGACAAGGGCGCTACACTTGAAATGTACGTCATTCTTAAAGCCATGACGCGAAAAAAGCGCGCTACATATGTAACACTGGTCGTTCTTAGAGCCATAGGGCGAAACAAGCGCGCTACACTTGTAACATCCGTCGTTCTTTAAGCCATGAGGCGAGGCAAACGCTACACATGAAATAAACGTCGTTCTTTGAGCCATGAGGCGAAACAAGCGCGCTACAATGAAATATACGTCGTTCTTAAAACCATGAGGCGAATCAAGCGCGCTACAATGGAATATACGTCGTCTTAAGCCATGAGGCAAAACAAGCGCATTACACATGTAACATTCGTCGTTTTTAAGCCATGAAGCGTTGCAAACGCTACACATGAAATATACGTCGTTCTTTAAGCCATGAGGGGGGAAAAAGCGCGCTACAAAGAAATATAAATCGTTCTTAGAGCCATGAGGCGAAACAAGCGCGCTACACATGTAACATTCGTCGTTCTTTAAGCCATGAGGCGAAACAAGCGCGCTACAATGAAATATACCTCGTTCTTAACGCCATGAGGCGAAACAAGCGCGTTAAACATGAAAAAGTCGTTCTTTTTACAGCCCCTCCACATCCTCGACGTTGCCATAATATTATCTAAGTGTCTATCTTTCTGATATTTAGCGGCACATTATTCCAAAGTCTTGTTGCTGATACAGCAAAAGAACGGCCTCCTTCAGTGTCACGCTTATAATAAGGACAGATAGAATTATAGCTAGCATACCGCGTGCTTTTGTTATGTTGTGTATTGTTAATCGTCAAGTGTTCATTGAGATAGTTCGGAAGAGAGCCATTTACGCGCTTCTAAAAAATAACACATTTGTTAATTTTACTGTTCATAAAAAGGTATCCATCCCAGCTTATAGAAAGTGTCAGAGAGGGTGTTAGGTGGTCGGAATATGAAATGATTCTAGATGCACGTTTCTGTAATTTCAAGACTCTGTAAAGTGGTTCCTTGTCACATGATGACCAAATGACGTCAGCATAGCTCATTACTAGGCGAATAATGACATTGTTGAGCAACAGTCGCTGTTTAAGTGACAGAAAGGGCCTGATTATACTCAAAACACCTATGCGCGAGGCAAGCTTATTGCAAAGATTTTCAACATGACAATCAAATGAGAGTGAACTATCGATTGTTAAACCTAAAAGTGTTGGACTTTTTCCATTTACGAGCCTATTGTCCTCAACTGTGACAACAAGTTCATTATTGATCTTAGACGCCAGGCGCTTTCCGGTGATCGTTAAGACTTTAGACTTTGACTCGTTGATTGGGAGTTTATTTGAGTCAGCGCAGTGACGTATTTCATCGGCGGAGATATTTAGTGAAAGTTTAAGTTCAGGTAAATTATTAAAGTGAGCAGATGCTGCCAGGGCAACCCGTCTCCATCGGATCCGAAGGAGGCCATTTGCCGACATTTTCCATCCCTTTCACTATACTCAACATTGCTATATATTTCTAAGTGTCTCGCGAACTGACACGGGGCGATGTCCGATGGTCTCTTTCCACAGCGACCCGTCTCTATCGGATCCGACGGAGTCCGTTTGCCGACATTTTCCACCCCTTTCACTACTCTACCTTGCTGTATATTTTCTAAGACTATCGCGAATTGACATGCGGCGAGTCCGATGGACTCTTGCCACGGCAATCCGTCTCCATTGGATCCGACGGAGTCCGTTACCGACATTTTTCACCCCTTTCACTACTCTACTTTGCTGTATGTTTTCTAAGTATCTAGCGAACTAACACGCGGCGAGTTCGATATACTCTTGCCACGGCAACCCGTCTCCATCGGATTTGCCGACATGTATTTCCACCCAGTCCGCAACTCTATACTTTGTTGTATATTTACTAAGTCTCTCGCGAACTGACTTCCGGCGAGTCTGGTTGTTCATGACCTTGGTCCATCGGACTCAGTTTGGGTGTATTGGACAACCCAAACTTACAAGAAAAGGAGTGGACGTGGACACCATCACCTACCAAAGTTAAAGGAAGTTTTGAAGCATTCTGATACTTGGCACAAGCTGACAGACAAAGATCAATACGAATTTCCCGGATTCGAGACTGACCTACAGTCCTCACAGAAACCATTGGCCAACTTAAGAGATTGGCGCAGGTTGCCTTTTGAAGCCAATACTCAGCCACATTTTATCTGGGATGACAACCAACTGCCAATAAGAGGCTCGCAAACAAAGAAGCACAACATAATTGTAGAAGGTAAGAAGACATCCTTGTACGTGAGACGGGGGCCTTGTAAAGGCGTGAAAACTTGTGCTGGCCCTGACTGTGAGTATGTGGTCTCCAACAGACACAAGATAAATCGATGCTTACGTCAAAGGGAAAATTAATCTCTTCTTTCATCTGCACCATGTAGTGTGCATATGGTCTACATATGGCCTTGCAATGACGATGGAAGGCGATGGTTGGTCTTGTACCGGGATCTCGACACAATCACAAAAAACCAGCTCCACACAGCATGTCAAGCAGAGTGAAAGAAGCCATCCAAAGAGTGGTTTCCGATGACAGCTAAAAAAAAAACAAAAGACAGTATGAAGGGCCTTGGAATTGGTTACGTCCCAGCCGAGTTCGGCTAGTTCGCCTGCAGCAAATGCCGACTGCGTTTAAAAAGAGAGGAAGATAGCCCTTGGCAAATGGACGTCTGTTTACAGAGAGCTACGCCCACTCGACGAGGTGCTCCGATTCGATAAAATTCGGAAAAAAGTGAAAAGCAACCAGCTGTATGGTGATTGAATAAGTCAACCAGATGATGGGTCAATATCAGATGAAAGGGAGCGAGTACCTCTTTACTTCTTCCAGAAAGTATGCCTTCTTCATGGCTCCATTTCAATCTGCACCGTTGAGTACAACAGAGGATTTATTCATGGAAGTTACTTCTACTGGTAATGACTTCTTCCTATACCTCCTAAACGTTGTTTCTTTTAACGACGAAACGTGCGTGTATAATGCGGTAGCAAGAGTTATATGTAGTAGGCAAGACAGTGAGAGTTACGCTAAGTCCATCGCCACGATTTTTTAAAAAGTGACGTTTGATCATGCCCGCTTCGCAAATGGCAAGAATTTGAGATCTATCTTGGTTGACTTTGATGATGGACAATACAAAGGACTTCAACAGTGTCTGGGTGAAGAACTTTCCCGGAAAGTGACCAGGAGATGCAAGGTTCACTGGCAGCGATCAGTTAAAAGAGCCTGCAGGCTTGTTTGCATGAATGACACTGAAGTTCGCATATTAAAAGCCCTAGCAAGCAAAATCGAAGACGAGTGCGAAAAAGAAATGTTTTGTTGCTTTTCGATGCGCTCTCTGGCACCAGACAATTACAAGAAGGGAAGGCAATTTGTTGGCAACGACCTATTTTCGGAATTTGACACCATCCACAACAAAGACTGGACGAAGCTGGAGCATTGGAGTAAATGGTGGTTCCATGTAAATTACCTGACCATGTTTACAAGGGCTTTTAAGGAAATGGACGACAAGGATTGGGAACAGGGACCAAGCACTATCAATCCTGTCGAGTCTTTAAACAGGCAGTCACTTCAGGAAGGTGATAATATACTTCATGCTTTGATGGAGAACATTTACCTGGAAAATCGCCTCTGCGCTGTGAAGAAAACAGTTTGCAAAGAGCACGTGACAACGTCCTACAAATCATCACCTGGCAAGCAGAAGGCTAAACGAAAGCGCACAAGTCAAGGCAAGCGTAGTGACGAAGGTCCACCGGATAAGCGCAGACATATATTAAGCAATAAAAGAAAACAAAATAAAAGAGCCTTGATCAACCGTTTAATTGATGTGGAATACGACGAGAAAGACAAATCGCGGCCTACAGAAAATATGAAGGATACTTGGTTAATTTTGCCGATTGAATTGACAGCAATGGTAGAGTCATTGAAGGGTGGTCAGACTGGATTGAGGATTTGAACGGTAAAGATGTCC